TCCAGATTCACCTTCCACCTCTCTCCGCAAAAGAGCTCTGATGATTCAACTTGTCATTGATTTGCCATTCCCCAGACTCACCACATTCTCTTCTGCTTCGATAACCTTACACATCCCTCTCTCGGCCTGATGGGCCTTCTCCCCTTTGCCATCTCTCTTGTCTGGCTAACCAACTCCTAACTATCCTTTAAGAATCTACACAAATGTCACTTCCACTAGGATGGCTTCCGGACACCTTTCATCTAAGTTTCTCTCTCTGAGGTCCTAATGGCACATTGTACATAGCTCTGTCAGAAACTGTGTCACACTGCACCGTCATTTACCTATCAGTCTCCCTCCCTAGACTTGGAGCTTTCTGAGTGGAGTTTATTGATGTTATCACTTCACTGAACCACAACAGGCTATACAAGTCAGACAAATAAGGGAATTCTAGTGAAGAACTCCAGACACAGAAATGCATCAAAGCAAATTTAGGCTTCTACTAAGATATCAAATCAGTGATGCCTTACAAGTTAACACACCTGGAGAAATTTCTAACAAATTGACTATGGCCTCACATTGAACACTGGAACACAACTGAGAGATGAATATCAAGTAAATTGCATATCTTGTTATACACGGCTAAAATTAGTCTAAGCTAAATAACTAGGAATTAATAAGAATGACAGTAATCATTTCATGAAATTGAGTCATGGAGGTCGAGTAATGGCCTAGGGCTAGGAAATCAGGTTGCAGCTGAGAATTCGGCAACTCAAAGCCTCAGATCACGTAAATTCGGAAGGTGGCAGGGCAGGGCACTTCCGCCCTCAGAGGATTCTCTGGAAACCACAGCCTCCACTTATCATCGCTGCTCTCGGGAGTCTTCCAGCTCGGGCAGTATACTTGCCTTAGAGGGGAGCCGAGGAGGACGCGGTGTCGTCTAGATTGAGCCGCTGGAAGGCGGAGTGAGGTGGGACACAGGTGGGCACAAGAGAAGAAATGAGCTTATCCTCGGGGCACGGGTACTGAGAAAGAGAAAGGACAAATTAAGGCAGAGAGAAGGCCCGGGAAAAGGATGAGATCCAGCCTGGGGACCAAGGCACCCGGTTTCCACTTTCCTGTGGGCTCTGACTCACCGCGTGGCCTTGGACAGATACAGTCCCCTCGCTTCTCGGGGCCTCAGCTTTTCTATCTGTAAAGTGGAGGCGATGACAGACAGCGTCCACATCGTTGGGCGGGAGCGGGAATCACAAGTGCCAGCAAATGAGAAAGCCGTTTTGTAACCTGCAAGGCTTAGGATGGAGCATCGTCATGCTTATGGTCCTAAGGAGAGGCAGCGGGTAACCGGGCGCGGTCTAGGGCAGTGACGCGACCGAGGCACCGGGGCGGCTGATGTGATGCGCCGGGGCCTCGCTCGTCGCCGTGCTCCCTCCAGCACTTATCCCGAGCGCTCCCACCGCCCAGGCCCACCCCTCACCCTGGTGCTCGAGAAACTTTTGCCTCCGGCCTGCTCCACCCGCACTCCCTACTAATTCCCGCCCCGCTGCCGCTCGCTTACCTCCCGGCCCTGCGCGGGCGGGAGCCTCACCTCTATGGTCGACCAGCGGCTAGAGTCGCCTCCCGTGACTCCTTTTGTGCGACCGCCTCCGGCCCAGCCGCCTCTAGCACCCGGGCATTTGGAGGCCGCTCTCTCTTCCTCTGTGAAGCTGGCGGAGTACTCTATGGTTCTGTCGATCGTTCCTCACCCCCACACCCCCTCCTGGCCTTGAGGCCCAAAGAGTACCATCGAGAGTTGTGGAGCAGAGTGGCATAGCCTTCTTGGTGGGTGTGGCGGGAAGTAGATGAAACAACTCGGGGGCCGGGCGAAGCGGCGCTTCACTGAAGAGCGAAGGGGTGAAACCATCGAGAGGGAGGGCCAGAGAGTCATGGCGGTAAGGGGCGGGGGAGTGACCGATTATTCCAAACCCCGCTGCTGGAGGCGCGCGCTGGGGTGTAGAGGGCGTTCGGGAGGGGGCTTCTGGGCGACCGACAAGGGCCGGGAGGGGGAAGGGCTTTGTCTGTAACCTTCCACGCATACGAATTTTGGAATTCTGGATCCTCTTCTGAGCTTCAGCGGAGGTCACTGCTGTCAGTTCACCAAACTGCGTGCCAGGCGTAGAGCAAAGTGGCAGGGGGGCGGGTGAGGTGTGCTAGAAAAGATTTGACCTCCTACCCTTCGGGATCTTACAGTCTAGAATCAGGCCCTGTCACATTTTATTGGGGGTGGAATTCGAGGAAATCTCCTTGGAGAAAGTAGCAGATGGGCGGGACTTCAACTGGAGAGAATGGAGGAAATAAATTTAAATGGGCATTCCGAGTCAAGAGAACTGCTTGAGCAAGGAAGAAGGAGGTTTGTATATTTGTTCAACAGAGAGTATTAGGAGCTAAGCCATTAAAGGTAGGTGGGCCCCGTATTGTGGAGGCAGAGAAGTTTTTACCTAATTCAGGGACCTGTTGAGAGCCAGTCATTGGAGATGTTGGAGTAGGGAAAGTAGTGGGATTCAAGCAGATCCTTATGAAGAAAGATCTGGACCCCTGTGTAGCAGTTTGGTGAAGCAGGATGTGGAGACCCATTAAGATGCCACTTCAAGAACTAAAATTAATTTTTTTTTTCTTTGCGGGCCACTATTGTGGCCTCTCTCGCCGCGGAGCACAGGCTCCGGACGCGCAGGCTCAGCGGCCATGGTTCACGGGCCCAGCCGCTCCGCGGCATGTGGGATCTTCCCGGACCGGGGCACGAACCCGTGTCCCCTGCATCGGCAGGCGGACTCTCAACCGCTGCGCCACCAGGGAAGCCCCTAAAATTAATTTTGAAGAGACAGTTTAGGTGGGAGGTAATAAAAAGCTAAACAGGACATTAGCATGTAAAGGAGAGGAGAGGATATTTGAAGTACATGACTCATAATAGCAAGGCATGAGGTTACTGACAGGTTGACAGAAGACAGTAGCTTCTTCATCCCCTCCTAACTCTGGCCAGTGGGCCCCTTTCTAACTCAGCTGGTCCCAGGGACCACAAAAATTCTGTCCATCCATTATCCTGATGTGAAGCCGGTTATATGGTTCTCTCAGGTTTAAGGAATCTCCAGACATAGTCGTCTGGCAAGAAACAGGTATGAACAGGATAATGAAAGGCAAAATGGGGCAACTGGCCCAGAGTCCCATCCCATTCCAACGCCAACCCCACCCCACAGAGGGAGGATATTGAAGCACACAGTAATGCTGACCTGTCCTTCCTGCTCCCAGCTTCTGCAGGGGGGGAGGGGTGTGTTGAGGAGGAATTTCAGAGTCCATTTTCTAAACTAATCTTGTGCTTTGTCCCATCTCCACTGCTCCCCACCCCCAGGTCTTGAAAATGCCTTGGGGCCAGTAAGATTCAGTGTTTTCCTTTCAAGATGCCCCTCTCAGACTTTGTTCTGGCCCTGAAGGACAATCCCTACTTTGGGGCTGGATTTGGGCTGGTGGGTGTGGGCACAGCCCTGGCCCTGGCCCGGAAGGGTGCCCAACTGGGTCTGGTGGCATTCCGGCGCCATTACATGATCACACTGGAAGTCCCTGCTCGAGACAGGAGCTATGCCTGGTTGCTTAGCTGGCTCACTCGCCACAGTACCCGAACTCAGCACCTCAGTGTCGAGACTTCGTACCTTCAGCACGAGAGTGGCCGCATCTCCACTAAATTTGAATTTGTCCCCAGCCCTGGAAACCACTTTATCTGGTAAGGTTGGGAACCAGAGAGGGCTCTGAGAGTAGAAAAGGAGAATGAGGGGAGGTGGGTTTGACCCATTCGTTCACCTCATTTTGACCATTCTTATTCAGGTATCAAGGGAAGTGGATCCGGGTGCAACGGAGCCGAGAGATGCAGATCATAGACCTGCAGACGGGGACCCCCTGGGAATCTGTCACCTTCACGGCTCTGGGCACTGACCGAAAGGTCTTCTTCAACATCCTGGAGGAAGGTGTGGGATGGCACAGACAGGCTTTATGGGGGCAGGGGGTGGTAGTTGCAGGGATGGGGTCTTCGACATCAAAGGAAGAGAAGCTTGGAGAGGAGGAACAGGAGGCTCTGAGACCATGGGAGCACTGGTGGCTAGGGAAACTGTTTTGGTATATTCTTTTTTTTTTTTGCGGTACGCGGGCCTCTCACTGTTGTGGCCTCTCCCGTTGCGGAGCACAGGCTCTGGACGCACAGGCCCAGCGGCCGTGGCTCACGGGCCCAGCCGCTCCGCGGCATGTGGGATCTTCCCGGACTGGGGCACAAACCCGTGTCCCCTGCATCAGCAGGCGGACTCTCAACCACTGCGCCACCAGGGAAGCCCGAGGGAAACTGTTTTGGCACAGCTCTGCCTAGTAGCATGGCAAAGAGAAATTATTGGCTTTGTCTCATCTCCCCCCTCCCAGCTCGAGAGCTAGCCTTGCAGCAGGAGGAAGGGAAGACAGTGATGTACACAGCCGTGGGCTCTGAATGGCGCCCCTTTGGCTATCCACGCCGCCGCCGGCCACTGAATTCTGTGGTTCTAGAACAGGGTCTGGCTGACCGAATTGTCAGAGACATCCGGGAATTCATCGATAACCCCAAGTGGTACACTGACAGAGGTGAGAAGCAGCTGGGGTCTTCGCTAGGTTGTTTTTGATGTGGTATTAGAACAGGAGGGAACAGGCTGGTCTTTGTGGCCAGATATAAAGCTGTGGGCTAGCGCTTTATATTTGTGGGCAAATATAAAGCTCTAGCCTAATTCCCATAGACGAAGCGGAGAGAAAAGTTGTCTACGGGAATGATTTCTTCCAATGCCAAAGTCATCAGGCCTCCAAGGAGCAGAGTTGGGCATGAATGTGGACATCTGGGGCAGAGTACCTGATTCATTTTAGGTCTTGACAATCATCCCGGCTGTATTCTTAGGCATTCCCTACAGACGTGGCTACCTGCTTTATGGGCCCCCTGGTTGTGGAAAGAGCAGTTTTATGTGAGTAGAGTCAAACTTCCCTTAACCCTCAAACTGGAGAGAAACTGGACTGGTGGGGTTGGAAAGGGAAATGAATGTGGGGAACAGGAACCGGGATAAACATGAGACATGTGGAACACTAGCAGGGTATGGTGAAAGGTTTAGGCCTCCGAGACAAAACTAGTACAGTGAGGAACAAGCAGCTGGGCCCAAGGACCAGTTCCCAGGTTGCCCATTACCTGTCATCCCTCCTCCATAGCACAGCCCTGGCTGGGGAACTGCAGCACAGCATCTGCCTGCTGAGCCTCACAGACTCCAGCCTCTCTGATGACCGGCTCAACCACCTGCTGAGCGTGGCACCGCAGCAGAGCCTGGTGCTCCTGGAGGATGTGGATGCTGCCTTTCTCAGTCGAGACCTGGCTGCGGAGAGTAAGTGAGGGAAGTTGACGGAAGGGGGAGTGTTTCTAAATGAGGAACAGTGGAAGAAAGGAGAAATCCAGGGAGCTGATGGAGGACACCTGGGTTAGCAATGAGAGGCCACAAGACGCATTGATAAGTAGGGGGACATGGTAAGTACGGAGTAGAAGGGGATGCTAATTTTAAGTAGGGCTATGATCACTCACGCTTTATCTCTGCCTTCTTCCAGACCCAGTGAAGTACCAAGGTCTAGGTCGTCTCACTTTCAGCGGCCTGCTCAACGCCTTGGATGGCGTGGCTTCCACTGAGGCACGCATCGTGTTCATGACCACCAACTATGTTGACAGGTGAGGAGTGAGGTACTCAAGACTGTGAGGCAAGATTCCACCCCCTCACTATCTTAGGAGGATCAGGAGGTTCAGCGGGACCTTTTTTTTTTTTTTTTTTTGCGGTACGCGGGCCTCTCACTGCTGTGGCCCCTCCCGCTGCGGAGCACAGGCTCCGGACGCGCAGGCTCAGCGGCCATGGCTCACGGGCTCAGCCGCTCCGCAGCATGTGGGATCTTCCCGGACCGGGGCACGAACCCGCGTCCCCTGCATCGGCAGGCGGACTCCCAACCACTGTGCCACCAGGGAAGCCCTAGCGGGACCATTTTTGGGGGTGCTGGTGGCACTGCTGCTCACGACTCTGCTTTTGCTGCCTTCTTCTCTTAGGCTCGACCCTGCCCTGATACGCCCTGGGCGAGTAGACATGAAGGAGTACGTGGGCCACTGCTCACGCTGGCAGCTGACCCAGATGTTCCAGAGGTTCTATCCAGGGGAAGCAGCTTCCCTGGCCGAGACCTTTGCAGACCATGTCCTTCAAGCTACAACTCAGATCAGCCCTGCCCAGGTGCAGGGCTACTTCATGCTTTATAAAAGTGACCCTGCAGGGGCAATTCACAATGCGGAGTCTCTGAGGAGGTGACAACTGGGCTGTGCCCAGCCCTCTCCTCCTCTAGGAGATCAATAAACACCTGTCATGCTACTGCGTTCTCTGACCTCCCTCCTACCTTCTGGTGTTGGCACTTGAGGAAAAAGCAGGGGCTATAAACACAGATGCCTTCAGGGGCTATCAGGTGTCCACATATGCAAATGCTGGGGGCACAGCCTGCCTTAGACAAAGGGGGCAGAAGAGAGACTGTAGTAAACAGGAAAGTACCATCCTCCACCTCAAGATATTCAAGTATAGACAGATAGATAGATGTGGGTGTATGCACAGTGGGTTGTGGGTCCTGCATATTCTTTTTTTTTTTTTTTGCGGTACACGGGCCTCTCACTGCTGTGGCCTCTCCCGTTGGGGAGCACAGGCTCCGGACGCGCAGGCTCAGCGGCCATGGCTCACGGGCCCAGCCGCTCCGCGGCATGTGGGATCCTCCCAGACTGGTGCACGAACCTGTGTCCCCTGCATCGGCAGGCGGACTCTCAACCACTGTGCCACCAGGGAAGCCCATGCATATTCTTCTTAAATGTTGGCCTCCACTAGTTTTCCTTGGAATCCACTATACTAGCTGAGATGTCAGACTCCTCTTTATCCAGACTCCGATTTCTTGGGAGAACAGACTTCAGAGCAATATTGTGGCTACTCTGCCATGCTCGTCTTGCTGGGAATTTAGAAAGAGATCCATACTTCACAGGCTAGGCACTACTAAGTAAGGAAAGCCAAACAAGGCCAATCTCTTTATTGTCCCCCCCCACCCCCCACAGTACTGCTAGGAACCATCCTCCGGTTCGAGGCTCACGGGCTCCCTTCGAGGACCAGGCCGGTAGGCTCCCCGACCCCGAGGCAGGTGGCGGTAGGAAGAAGCCGGTGTCCGACCCTTGGAGCGCTCCCAGCGGGCACAGTCGCGAGTCCTGCGGGGCGGGGGACCCTGCCAGTTGCCATGCCCCTTTTCTTGGGGAGGACCTTCAACCCCTTGGTTACGGGACTCTGGCTTTAGGTCCATAGGCTCCTTGAGGGGCCCCTCAGGAGGTGGCAGTTCCTGGGTATCACTGGTACCTTTGAGGGCATTGCACTCCCCTCCTTTTAGGTGCCTCCGTTCGGCTTGTCTCCAGGGACCTCGACTGGCCCGGGGAGGATCTAGCATAGCTTTCTGGGTCTCGCCCAGCTTTTGCTGATTTGGCCCAGCCCCTGGAATCTTCTCACATGTGTACTGGGAGGCCACAGGCAGAGGAGCTGACAGGGTGGTCTGAGCAGTTGATGAGGTGGACTGTTCTGTGGCAAGGGTACTGGGTGGGTGGGATCCTCCAGAGGCATCTACAGCTGACTCGGGTTCCAAAGGGGCAGGAGGCTAGAAGGAAGTGAGCAGATGCAGTGAAGGGGATGCAGTTCCTCAAAGCGGGGAACCGCAGGCCCCTCACCTAGAATCTGAGCCGACCGCCATCAGCCCTCCCAGGGTAGAACAAAGCTCACCCAAGGGCCACGGCAGAGGGGTGTTGGTAGGAAGGTTGGTGTCATCAGGGGAGGAGTGGGAAACCCTTCCCTCACCTGCTGGAGGCTGATGAAGTACCGGTTACGCTCAGCCTCAAGGTCAATGATGCCCCCCCTCTCCTGCTGTCTCTGGTAGAGCCTCTTGCGCTCTTCTTGCTGGCGTAAGCTCTCTGCATCGGGCTGGTACAGCTCCTGGAGGGAAAGGAGCAGAGTGGCACAGAGAGAAGAATCAACAGGAGAAGGCAGACTCGAAACCCCGGCTCTTCTAGGACTGCCTCAGGAGATCTGCTCAAGGTTCTTGGTTTTATCCCTCAGATTGGGCTCCCGAACAGAGTTTTGGACTTCTGCTGGGGGCCATGGCTTTACAGAGAGGGCCCAGGCAGCTTAAGGCCAATTCCAGAGACCCCATTCAAAGCAGACAATATTTCATTATTCTTGGCTCAGATCAGCAGCGAATTGTCTTACCACAGGCTGCTGGGGTTCAGGGGCCGCTTTCAGCAAGGCAAGATCGTACACGAGTGGCTCTCTGCACACCGGGCACTGCACACCAACGGCCTTCTGAAAAGAGAGGTGAAATCGCACCCCTGCTTCCCAGCCTAGGGTGCTTGCCAGCTGCCCAGCCTCATCTGTAGAGGGCTGGGACGGAGGGGCATAGGAATACCTGTTCAGCAGTGAGGGGGAGCAAAGCAGAGGCTGCCTAACTAGAGGTCTGGGAACCCTCTGAAACCGTGTGCAATATGCTTACGTGTATGTATAAGGATGCCCCTTTTTCCTGGACAAAGGTGAGCTTTCGTTAATCTCAGAGGTACCTATGACCCTGAAAAGGCTAAGGCGGCCCTGGAGTGGAGGGATAGAAGAGGGCATGAGGTCAAGCGAGCAGGGCCAGCAGGTCAACCTGTTTGGTTGTGGCGTGCTGCCATTCCCGTTCCTGCTCCCGCCCCTGGGCCTGCAGCTCCTGCTCCATGTGCTGGATGTACCGAGCCAGGCAGTGGCAGTGGAAGTAGTGGTAACAGGTGGTTTTGGTAAAGGCCTCCTTCTCCTGGAGGGTAAGGCACTGTGTCAGAGCTCGCCCCAAGCCCTCCACTGTCTGTCACAGCCGACCCCCAGGTCCCAAGAGAGTAACCCACCTGGAAACCATAGAGGCAGATGACGCACTGGCCATGGGGGATGTTGTTATCTGTGAGAATTTCCTTCCCTTTCTGAGAGGAGAGAAGATACTGTTCAAATAGGGAGGCAGGAGCCAGAACTGTGAGTGAAGCTTGTTGACTACTCCCAGGAGTGACTGGCGGGCCGTCTCCCACCGAGCCAGTTTGCCTTGTGTTCATGCATTTCTGTCTTGGTGATGCTCCCTCTGCTTGGAATCGATCCTCCTCCCTGCCCACACCCCTCCCCCCAAATCTACCCAGCTTCAAAATCCAATTTAATTGTTTTCCCACTCATTAAGTCACTTTTAACACATCTTGGGGATGAAAATAAAACACCTTCGAGAGAAAAAAAATGTTCAATTAAAACTCACATCTTCTGGGAGGCCTTTCCTGGTTATCCCCCTTTGAATATCACTCCCTCAATGAGCCTGTTCTGGAGTCAGCTTTCAGAAAGAAAGTGAAGGCATGGACACCCCAAATGGACAGAGAATTCAAAAGGCATCAGGTTGAGCTATGAAATACGCATCTGCACTGTTGTTTAATAGCTAATACTCTGGAATTCCACAAAGTTCAAAGCTGCATCGTGGAGGCCTGACTTAGAAATGCTACAGTGGTCTATGCCCAGTCTGACTCCAGGCCACCCACCTTCATTCTTTTCTGAACATTTTTCTTAAAAACTCAAAGTAGAGGAAAACAAGACTGTATTTGTGTTTTTGATCTCAAACAACAAAAGTTAGCTGTGTATATTAACTTGTAGCTCTAGGTATAGTTTCATGTGGGTCGTTTCCTTTACTAGGGTAGAAACTCTTTGAGGAAAAGAACCATGACTTTTTCTAGTCAGCTCCAATGACAGACTAGCCTTCAAATGTTCATTTATGGCTAGACCCTCCAGGTAAGATCTCTTGCCATTTTCAGTTGCCAATGCCAAGAGAACTTGGCATTGGCAATTGAAATGCACTGATAATGAAGCAAGAAAAATTCAAGTTAAAGAGGAAAAAAATTTTTCTGTCACGATGCTGGAATAGGCAACTTGGAGAAGCTATGGAACTGTCTTTGGGGAGATATTTTGAAACAGAAGAGAGTCTCACCTTTCTGGGGCAGTTTAGGCTTACCTAAACAAGAACTAAATGAATGTCTCTAGACATATTTAAGATTCTAGGCCCATGGCCCCCCTTGAAAGAAACTGCTCTAGCTGGAAGGTAAGGACATTTCCCCAGGCTAGCACACCTCTCACCTCGATGAGTTCATAGAGCATGGCAGTACCCAGCCCAGCCTCAGCCATGTGGCTCAGCGCCTGTGAGATCCTGTGGGGAGAGGGCAAAGCAAACATTAGGCCTGCCCCCTTCCCTCACCAGACTGAGCTGTATCCCAAATTTTCGCTGCACTGACCAGCCCGACTTACTTGTGGATCTGTTCATCTGAGAGTCCTCGGGGGTTACGGATAGAGATCTGTGGCACCTCGTGGGGATACTAGAGAGAGAAAATACCACGCTACTGCTAATGCACTCCACCCCAAGGCCTCTCCCCTCCCTCCCTTTGCTGCCATAAAGTAGAGGCCTCACCTGTGCTGGGACCCGAAGCACCAGAGTGAAGCAGACATACTGTGAATCCTGGTCTTCTGCAGTGGCGGGGTGCAGGGTGATGCAGATCTCCCATGATGATGATCTGCAGGTGGATGAAGTGGAGACCTGGGATGTGACTGGGCAGGGACTTGAGAGCTGGGGAGGATGGGGGTGAGAGAGTAAAGCGGGCAGAGGAAGTGAGCATCAGGCTCTTTCTTTGGGGTGATTAAAGGAATAGACTGTCTACATGACAGAAATATTATCTCAAATCAAGGCCCACAGATACTGCATGGAATCCTCTTACTACCAAGGGGACTCCTGCCCACCTCTAGTTGAATACGTACCTGCCATTTCCTTTGACCACCTGTAGTTCATCCAGATAGATAGACTCTAACACTTCAACTTCAGAGGGAAGGACCCTAGAGAGACAGAGGAGATTGACTTACCATTACAACTTTCCCTAGTAAAGCCTACTAAGGCCCATGAAGGCTGGCTTTGTAGAAAAATGGCAATCTGCATGAGTGCTGGCAATCTGCATGAGTGCATTCTCTTGCTAACCTCCATAAAAATGGGGGAAACATGTTTCCTTAATTTGTCAAGTGGCCAGGTAGAAAGCACAGGAATCAGTTTTACAGATCATTTCTGCCAATAGATGAGGAAACAGATTCCCAAGAAGGTGAAAAGACTAGCCCAAATCTCAAGGCTTGAGGCAGGACTGAGACGCAAGCTAGGTTTCCTGACTCCCTGTTTAAGTTTCATTGTACTGTTGGTTGTTCCTTAGTGGCCATCTCTCTGACCCAGAAATATGACATCTATTGATTAGCATTAAGGTTACCAATACCACTCCTGGCTTTCCCTACACCGTTCATGGATCCCAGTGTCTACACACACTGCCAATACCAGTCACTGTAAACCTCCTCAAAGGAGATACCAACCTGAATAGAACAGATCTACATGCTGTAAAGGCTGTGCTGTAGTGGAAGAGCCATCAGCCTTGGAATGAGTAACAGGTACCAATCACTTACCAGCTATGTGATCTGAGTAGTTACTTATATCTGTAAGCCTGAATTACCCTGTCCACCACATATAGATATTACCACCCACTCTCCACAGTTATCGTGAGGATGACAGGTGATTTGTTTATGTCAAGTGCCTAATAGTATCTTTGCCATAGTAGCTAGTCTGTGTTCTTTTTTTTTCCTATTTGTATTAACCTTCTCCCTTAAAAGGAAAGAGAGAAGGTTGTAGTTAATATTCAATGTATTTATGATCCCTGCTGTCTGACTGATCTAGATCAACTTGTGCAGGTCAGGATCCAGTGGCCCCTCCACCCACCCGCTCCCCAGTCCAGAACTCTCTTTGGAAGAGAGGTCAGTGTCTCTGCCATCCCTCAGAGGACACACATGTTTAATCACAGAAAGAGCAGTTGTAATGCCACTGAAGATGAGTTATTGGCTTGAGGCCACAGCTTTACCCAGATAATACATGGAAAGATACATACTTGGTTTGCTTTCTCATAGTTATATTGCCCCTTCTTCACCAAGAGCAGGGCTGCCCTAGTGTGACATACATGTGTGTGTGTGTGTGTGTATACATGTGTATGTGTATATATAGAGGGTGATTCTCCAAAATTTTTAAAGTCTTTTAAAGTCTTAGGCAGACACCTGAAAATATAAAATAGATAATGTAGGTAACAGTTGAGTACTTCTGGTTGACATGAGCGTTGGAGTCTTAGAGCACTGCAGGCTGGCTGTACAATCATTATGGCCCTCACCAAGGCACAATGTGTCCCCTCAGAATCTTAAATTCCCCTGAATAGGTTGAAAACAGCAAGTCTGCATGGTCTCAAAAAAGGCCAGCACTGGCTGGGCTCCCTGAACCAATGAAACACTGAGGTGTAGCCTCCATCAAGAAGCCCTTCAATACTTCACCCACCCTACCTGTGACTTGGGCCCTGGATGTGAGATATGGAATGGGATGGTGGTAAGATGGTGACAATAAAAAGGGGAGGGCTTCCCTGGTGGCGCAGTGGTTGAGAGTCCGCCTGCCGATGCAGGGGACGCGGGTTCGTGCCCCGGTCCGGGAAGATCCCACATACCGCAGAGCGGCTGGGCCCGTGAGCCATGGCCGCTGAGCCTGCGCGTCCGGAGCTTGTGCTTCGCAACGGGAAAGGCCACAACAGTGAGAGAGGCCCGAGAACCGCAAAAAAAAAAAGGGGGAGGTGGAACTGTACAATGTCCTAGAACTAAGAACCTAAGGTTTGGAGTCTGACAACCTGGATTCCTAGTCATAACTATGTACCTTTTGGCAGCTCATTTTACCTCTTCAGGCCTCATTTAGTCTCCTCAGGTGCCTACACCTCAGAGTTATTAATGAAAAGGAGGCTTAGGTATGTTACAAATCCATCTTGATCCTCTCAGATCCTTCTCTGAGGTGGATGCCACACCCACTTTTTTTTTTTTTTTTTTTTTTTTACAGCTAAGGACACTGATTCATAGAAGCTAGGTGGCCTGGTCAGCATTACACAGCTAATAAAATATGATGTGAACCCACATTTATCTATTTCCAAATCCCAGAGTCCTTCCATGTTCTGGTCCCTTGTGACGAATGCTTGAGAGAAGGACTAGGAGCGCTTTCCGTGAGATGTAAAGCTTTATTCAGACAACAGCCTCATTAGTGCTGTCGGGAAGGGAGAAGGTTGAGAAAAGCCTCAGAGGAAATAGTCTGATCCGAGGGGAAAGGGGGACGGGAATTGGAGGACATTGGTTCTGGGAAGTAAGAGGGACGGGGAGGGGGGCGGAGATCTGATAAACAGGCATCCCCCGGGACCCTGAGCAAATCCACTTCAGAAGGCGAGAATGGGACGGGGTGAAGCCGGAGGATCGAACCTGATAAGGCGCGGCCCGAACCAGCCAGGTCGGCGCTGATGCGGTCTCCTCCGGGTCAGACCAGTGACCCTCCACCCACCCAATCCCCAGTCCAGAACTCTCTTAGGAAGAGATGTAAGCGTCTCTGCCATCCCTCATCCCTCGCCCAGCCCCCACGCGCCAGCCGTACGGACCGTCTGCGGCTGCCGCTAGTCCCCCGGACCGGATCCAGGCGGTCCTCCAAAGCCCATGACCCCAAAGTTACCAGTCCTCCTCCCCTGCAGCTGCCGACGCAGACACCGCCATGTCTTCTGCGGCCCGCAACCGGAACCGGAAACAGCCTCCGGGCAGTCGGAGGCGGAAAGTAAAGCAGGGGAGGGAGAGTAGCTCGCGGCCGTTTCTAGGCAACCTCAGACTCCCGGTCCTTAGATGGTCCTGAGGGCCAAGGGATGGCTGGGAAATGCCCTAGGAAGTGCCTATGGGCGGCCCACCGTCTCTCCCACACCCCTGAATGCCTATTCCTCCGAACCTCTGACCAGTTCTAGCGAGTAAAATTGGTAACAATGTGAGTCTAAAGAGACCGGCAGTGGGGGGGGGGGGGGGGGACGATAAGTCCCACGATAAGAACGATAAGTCAGGCAAAATACGAAGGCACCCAGAAGGGGCGGGGCTGAAGGCCAGGGCCGGCGTCCCTCGGCCTGAAGAGCTTGAAGCTCCTAGGCTTGGGGTAAGAGAGGCGCTCCTGTCCGCTAAGCCGGCGGGCCGAGGGTGTGGGCGGGGGTGCTGAGAAGGTTGTAAGTGGCAGGAACTTTGGGGTGGCTGGAAGGGGCGGGGTCGGTGGGCGAGGCTGGATGGAGGGGGCGGGGTCGGGTGGGTGAGGCTGGGTGGAGAGGGTGGGGTGAGGGGGAGAGGCTGGGTGAAGGGGGCAGTGGTCGGGTGGGCAAAGCTGGGTGGAGGGGGAAGGGGGACACGGGGTCAGGTGGGAACAAGGTTGGGTTGGGAGACAGGAAGAGGACTACGGAAGGCACTCTGCTCCAAGATCTCATCTTTCCATTCTCTACCCTACCTTATTTATGAGGCCTGGATTGTTATGAAAAAAAAGGAAAAGGCAAGGCGGCTAACGTTAACCTTTCTTCCATGCCCGAACCAGGCCTCCCAGATGTGTGGAACTGTCCCTGGAGCTGTAGCCCTTCACCACCATCTCTGTCTCCTTCCTTCTGAGGGATCCTGAAATCTCTGTCATGGAAAAGTACCACGTGTTGGAGATGATTGGAGAAGGCTCTTTCGGGAGGGTGTACAAGGGTCGAAGAAAATACAGTGCTCAGGTGGTGAACAAAGAGGGATATCTCTTGGGTGGTATCCCACACCCTCAACTCCAGTGGAGAATGGGGCCAGAATACTGACCTGTATTCGTAGGACACTGATTCCTTCATAATTATGGAATATGAGCTCTGAAATTGGATTAATTGGGTTCAAATCGCAGCTCCACCACTTTCTAGCCTTAGAACTATAGACAAGTTACTCAACCTCTCTATGTCTCAGTTTTCTCATCTATAGAAGGAAAATAGAACAGCGTCTTATTGGGGTATGAGGATTAAGTGTGATGTCACACTGAATCACTTAGAGCGGTGCTTGGCACCTAGTAAACAGCAATTATAATTATTATTAATATTATTATCTATCATACCATGAAGGAAGGGATAAACCACCTGAACTCTATTCTTCCCTCTTCATTTTTTCTTCCTTCCCTTTCCCCTAAATCCCTTAAATCTTGAGTTCTTTATCCAGTTCTTCTCCCAGAATCCACCAAAGGGATCTATCTGGCAGAGGCTCTTTCCTCCTAGGGTGAGAGCAGGGGAAACCTGGGTAAGGCCAGGGTACCATGGGGAAAGTCAAGTGGGAGACTAGCAAGTATAGTGAGAATTGCTCAAACAATCTGAAGTCTGAGTTCTGGAGCTTTGAGGCTAATGTTTCAATAGTGTGGTTAGGCCTTGACTCTTGACCTTACCGCTGACAGGTGGTGGCCCTGAAGTTCATTCCAAAATTGGGACGCTCAGAGAAAGAGCTTAGGAATCTGCAACGAGAGATTGAAATCATGCGGGGTCTGCGGCATCCCAATATTGTGCATATGCTTGACAGCTTTGAGACTGACAAAGAGGTGCGCTTTGGTTTTGGGTCACTTCTCGCCAAGAAGAAGGGTCCCAGGAATTTCCCATCCTCAAAATGCATAAATGTGGAGCCATTAGTAGCATTGCCTTCTCCCTGCAGGTGGTGGTGGTGACAGACTATGCTGAGGGAGAGCTTTTTCAGATCCTAGAAGATGACGGAAAACTTCCCGAAGAGCAGGTATTCCTGGCTCAAACTTCTTCTACCCATGACCTCTTCTCAGTTTAAGGACTGGTAGCGAGAGCTGAGGGCATTGAGAGTCTCCAGTTTGAAAACTCCCAAGTAAAATATAAGAGTCTAGGTATATGTAGAGACAGTGTGGTGTGACAGTAAAGTATGTGAACGCTGGAACCCAAATCTCTGAGTACAAAGGTTGGGTCTTCCACTTTGTAGCCGGATCTTCTTCTCATTTTTTTTTTTTTTTAATTTCCATTACTCTAGGAGGTGGATCAAAAAAGATCTTGCGGGCTTCCCTGGTGGTGCAGTGGTTGAGAGTCCGCCTGCCGATGCAGGGGACACGGGTTCGTGCCCCAGTCTGGGAGGATCCCCCATGCCGTGGAGCGGCTGGGCCCGTGAGCCATGGCCGCTGAGCCTGCGCTTCCGGAGCCTGTGCTCCGCAACGGGAGAGGCCACAACAGTGAGAGGCCCGTGTACCGCAAAAAAGAGTGTGCTTCCCATGTTTTACTCTAAGAGTTTTATAGTGTCCAGTCTTACATTTAGTTCTTTTTTTTTTTTTTTCTTTTTGTGGTACATGGGCCTCTTACTGTTGTGGCCTCGCCCGTTGCAGAGCAACGGGGTCTTTTGTGTCTCCATACAAATTTTAAGATTTTTTGTTCTAGTTCTGTAAAAAAATGCCATTGGTAACTTGATAGGGATTGCATTGAATCTGTAGATTGCTTTGGGTAGCATAGTCATTTTCACAATATCGATTCTTCCAATCCAAGAACATGGTATATCTCTCCATCTGTTGGTATCATCTTTAATTTCTTTCAACAGTGTCTTATAGTTTTCTGCATACAGGTCTTTGGTCTCCCTAGGTAGGTTTATTCCTAGGTATTTTATTCTTTTTGTTGCAATGGTAAATGGGAGTGTTTACTTAATTTCTCTTTCAGATTTTTCATCATTAGTGTATAGGAATGAAAGAGATTTCTGTGCATTAATTTTGTATCCTGCAACTTTACCAAATTCATTGATTAGCTCTAGTAGTTTTCTGGTGGCATCTTTAGGATTCTCTATGTGTAGTATCATGTCATCTGCAAAGAGTGACAGTTTTACTTCTTCTTTTCCAATTTGTATTCCTTTTATTTCTTTTTCTTCTCTGATTGCCGTGGCTAGGACTTCCAAAACTATGTTGAATAATAGTGGTGAGAGTGGACATCCTTGTCTTGTTCCTGATCTTAGAGGAAATGCTTTCAGTTTTTCACCATTGAGAATGATGTTTGCTGTGGGTTTGTCATATTTGGCCTTTATTATGTTGAGGTAGGTTCCCTCTATGCCCACTTTCTGGAGAGTTTTTATCATAAATGGGTGTTAAATTTTGTCAGAAGCTTTTCTGCATCTATTGAGATGATCATATGGTTTTTCTTTTTCAGTTTGTTAATATGGTGTATCACATTGATTGATTTGCGTATATTGAAGAATCCTCGCATCCCTGGGATAAATCTCATTTGATCATGGTATATGATCCTTTTAATGTGCTGTTGGATTCTGTTTGCTAGTATTTTGTTGAGGATTTTTGCATCTGTATTCATCAGTGATATTGGTCTGCAATTTTCTTTTTGGAGTATCTTTGTCTGGTTTTGGTATCAGGGTGATGGTGGCCTCATAGAATGAGTTTGGGAGTGTTCCTTCCTCTGCAATTTTTTGGAAGAGTTTGAGAAGGATGGGTGTTAGCTCTTCTCTAAATGTTTGATAGAATTCACCTGTGAAGCCATCTGGTCCTGGACTTTTATTTGTTGGAAGATTTTTAATCACAGTTTCAATTTCATTACTTGTGATTGGTCTGTTCATATTTTTTTATTTCTTCCTGGTTCAGTCTTGGAAGGTTATACCTTTCTAAGAATGTGTCCATTTCTTCCAGGTTGTCCATTTTATTGGCATAGAGTTGCTTGTAGTAGTCTCTTAGGATGGTTTGTATTTCTGTGGTGTCTGTTGTAACTTCTTTTTCATTTCTAATTTTATTCATTTGAGTCCTCTCCCTCTTTTTCTTGATGAGTCTGGCTAATGGTTTATCAATTTTGCTTATCTTCTCAAGAACCAGCTTTTAGTTTTATTGATCTGTGATGTTGTTTTCTTTGTTTCTATTTCATTTATTTCTGCTCTGATCTTTATGATTTCTTTCCTTCTGCTAACTTTGCATTTTGTTTGCTCTTCTTTCTCTGATTCCTTTAGGTGTAAGGTTAGATTGTTTATTTGAGATTTTTCTTGTTTTTGGAGGTAGGCTTGTATTGCTATAAACATCCCTCTTAGAACTGCTTTTGCTGCATCCCATAGGTTTTGGATCGTCATGTTTTCATTATCATTTGTCTCTAGGTATTTTTTGATTTCCTCTTTGATTTTTTCAGTGATCTCTTGGTTATTTAGTAGCGTATTGTTTAGCCTCCATGCGTTTGTGTTTTTTATGGTTTTTTCCCTGTAATTGATTTCTAATCTCATAGCGTTGTGGTCTTGATATTATTTCAGTTTTCTTAAATTTACTGAGGCTTGATTTGTGACCCAAGATGTGATTTATCCTGGAGAATGTTCTGTGCACACTTGAGAAGAAAGTGTAATCTGCTATTTTTGGGTGGAATGTCCTATAAATATCAATTAAATTTGTCTGATCTATTGTGTTATCTAAAACTTGTGTTTCCTTATTAATTTTCTGTTTGGATGATCTGTCCATTGGTGTAAGTGAGGTGTTAAAGTCCCCCACTATTATTGTGTTACTGTCGATTTCCTCTTGTATAGCTGTTAGCAGTTGCCTTATGTATTGAGGTGCTCCTATGTTGGGTGCATATATATTTATAATTGTTATATCTTCTTGGATTGATCCCTTGATCATTACGTAGTGTCCTTCCTTGTCTCTTGTAACATTCTTTATTTTAAAGTCTATTTTATCTGGTATGAGTATTGCTACTCCATCTTTCTTTTGATTTCCATTTGCATGGAATATCTTTTTCCATCCCCTCACTTTCAGTCTGTATGTGTCCCTAGGTCTGAAGTGGGTCTCATGTAGACAGCATATATATGCGTGTTGTTTTTGTATCCATTCAGCAAGCCTGTGTCTTTTGGTTGGAGCGTTTATTCCTTTCACGTTTAAAGTAATTATCGATATGTATGTTCCTATGACCATTTTCTTAATTGTTTTGTGTTTGTTTTTGTAGGTCATTTTCTTCTCTTGTGTTTCCCACTTAGAGAAGTTCCTTTAGCATTTGTTGTAGAGCTGGTTTGGTGGTGCTGAATTCTCTTAGCTTTTGCTTGTCTGTAAAGCTTTTGATTTCTCCATCAAATATGAATGAGATCCTTGCCGGGTAGAGTAATGTTGGTTGTTGTTCTTCCCTTTCAACACTTTAAGTATACCATGCCACTCCCTTCTGGCTTGTAGAGTTTCTGCTGAGAAATCAACTGTTAACCTTATGGGAGTTCCCTTGTATGTTATTTGTCATTTTTCCCTTGGTGCCTTCAATAATTTTTCTTTGTCTTTAATATTTACCTATTTGATTACTATGTGTCTCGGCGTGTTTCTCCTTGGGTTTATCATGTATGGGACTCTCTGCACTTCCTGGACTTGGGTGGCTATTTCCTTTCCTTTCCCACATTAGGGAAGTTTTCAACTATTATCTCTTCAAATATTTTCCTGGGTCCTTTCTCTCTCTCTTCTCCTTCTTGGACCCCTATAATGTGAATGTTGTTGCATTTAATGTTGTCCCAGAGGTCTCTTAGGCTGTCTTCATTTCTTTTCATTCTTTTTTCTTTATTCTGTTCTGCAGCAGTGAATTCCAGCATTCTGTCTTTCAGGTCACTTCTCCGTTCTTCTGCCTCAGTTATTCTGCTATTGATTCCTTCTAGTGTATTTTTCATTTCATTTATTGTGTTGTTCATCTCTTTTGTTTGTTCTTTAATTCTTCTAGATCTTTGTTAAACATTCCTTGCATCTTCTTGACCTTTGCCTCCATTACTTTTCCAAGTTCCTGGATCATCTTCACTATCATTATTCTGAAATCTTTTTCTGAAAAGTTTCCTATCTCCACTTCATTTAGTTGTTTTTCTGGCGTTTTATCTTGTTCCTTCATCTGGTGCATAGCCCTCTGCCTTTTCATCTTGTCTGTCTTTCTGTGAATGTGGTTTTTGTTCCACAGGCTGCAGGATTGTAGTTCTTCTTGCTTCTGCTGTCTGCCCTCACTTTCCTCAATTTAAAATGGAAATAATAATAATGTCTATCTCATAAGGCTATTGTGAAGATTAATGAGTTAATTCCTGTAAAGTGTTTGAAAGAGTGCCTGGCACAAGTGTTCAATATATCTAGCTATTTTTAATGCTGTTGTTATTGTTAGGCACCTCTAGGTAAGAAGGCCCAGTGTGGTGGCACCAGAGAGGCAGGAAGGGATAAGCGTTGTGGTTAAGGCAGGATTCACCACCAAGGCACAGTGGTTAGCCGTAGGGTTTGGTTGAAGACATTCTCCAGCCATATTCATTCTAGGGATTTCTCTGTACTCTAGCAAGTAGGCCCCCTTCAGGACTTCCTGTCACAGCATTCTGTTTCCTTCCAAGCATTCATCATTATTTGTGAGCCATCATCTTATTTGTTTTGTCAGTCTTGTTTGTTTGTCTGGCTACTTCTCTTGAGAGAAGGGACTTTGTCTTATTTAATAACAGCTAATATATATTGAATGCTAAGTGCCAGGCACCATTCTGAGTAATACGTTACTTTACATGCTTTATCGCATTTAAATCCTCACAATGATCCTATGAAATAAGTAGTATCGTTATTGTCGCCTTATGGGTAGATGATGACTCTGAGAGCCATAAGATAATTCGCATGTGGTCATGCAGTTAGTGAGACTCAATAAATTTTCCTTGAACGAATGAATGAACAAATGAAAGAATGAATGAATAGGGGAGCAAGAACTAAGGAAGGTATCTTGTGAAGCCCTGGAAGAAAGGGAAGGAAGAGAAGATCACATCAGTAGTAGTATTAGGGTGGAGTCTTTGGCTCATCAGCAGACCCCTTCCGCTGACTTCTCCTTTCTTCCTCTCACCTGACTGTTTGACCCCTAGGTTCAGGCCATCGCTGCCCAGTTGGTGTCAGCCCTGTACTATCTGCATTCCCACCGCATCCTCCACCGAGACATGAAGCCTCAGAACATCCTCCTTGCCAAGGGTGGTGGCATAAAGCTCTGTGACTTTGGGTGAGGTGCCTGACCTTCTGTCTCTGCTTCCAGTTCTGCAAGGAGCCTTAGATCATATGCTTGACTTCCTTGGGCCTCATTTTAGAACCTGAGCTGGAGACTGGGATTCCTGCTGGGTCTTGGAAGATGGTCTGTTTGTTCAGGTTGGGGATATCTCGCACAGTGACAGGTAGCAGTGACCAGCTCTAGAGTTTATTATTTCTCTATTTCTCTATCTGTCTATCTATCTCACACAGTGACCAGCTCTAGTGTTTATTATTTATTCATTTATCTATCTAATTTTTGGCCCTGCCCCACTGCATGCTGGATCTGAGTTCCCCGACCAGGGGTCGAACCTGCGCCCCCTGCAGTGTAAGCACAGCATCTTAACCACTGGACCGCCAGGGAAGTCTCTCTTGTTTTTATTGAATATCTTCTTTTTCCATTTTGATTCCATCATCTACTGCAGATTTGCCCGGGCTATGAGCACCAACACGATGGTGCTGACATCCATTAAAGGCACACCACTCTACATGTCTCCAGAGCTGGTGGAGGAACGACCATACGACCACACCGCGGACCTCTGGTCTGTGGGCTGCATACTGTATGAGCTGGCAGTGGGCACTCCTCCCTTCTATACCACGAGCATCTTTCAGCTGGTCAGCCTCATTCTCAAGGACCCTGTGCGCTGGCCCCCCACCATTAGTCCTTGCTTCAAGGTGATGAATACTGAAAGACTGCTTTTGCATCAGAAACCTGTCTACCTCTGCCCTGTTCCCTTTTCCACAATTTTTTTCCAGAGCTGGGGCTGCACTTTGCAGTTACTTAATTGATGCAGGAGCTGGGGCAAGCTGCCTTGCTTTTGTACTGCAGAGCCTTATTCTGGGAGGGTGATCTAAGGTGTGCCCAACTTGGGAGTAGCAGCCCCTCCTTGGGTCAGGCTGTCCTTTATCAAAATGGAGAGGTAATTTCAAGACACCAGAAACAGATATTGGTCCCTTTACACACTCTCTATTCTACTAATTTCCTATCAGATGCAATGGCCGAATGATTTCCAGATTTGCCAACACAGCTGTCCTCTTCCTGAAAGAATCTTTAGATATCCAAATGGCCATAGCTGATGGGGCTAGCTCACTGATTAGGGGCAGAGGATAGAGATGGTGCCTGTCTTTTGCAGTTAAATCTCAGCAGGCCCGGGTGGGGGTGGGGGGAGGGAGGAAAAGGAATTGACCTTTTTTATTTTTCATCTAGGGCAAGATTTGAGCCTTCAATAAAATTTAAATGCAGCCTTCTCCCAGGGTAAAACCTCATGATAACTTTCCTTTGTTTTATCTAAGATGAAAAGAGACAAGTTTCTCCCCAACCTATTTAGCTGGGGGTGGCCCAAATAATTATCAAAAAGAACCTAAACAAAGGAAGCATAATTGGGTGATATACATAAGATATACATTCTCCCTTAGGGCAGACATGCAGGTATCTCCAGCAAGAGCCAAGGTGTAATGATCACCTTGTTTTAGAACAAGGGTTGTAATCTACTAGTACCTTCTATTCCTATTTCAGGCCCAATTGAGGATTTCCCCAAGGATACCTTATAACAGATGTACCCTTTTCAGACAGCCTCCCTGCCCCTCCACCATCTGAAGACTTGCTGAAAGATTTGTTTTTGAGTGCTCCCAAACACATCTTTACACAATGACTTATGCGTGTGAGTGTGCTTTTAGCTGTAAGTGCCTTTGTTCCTACCCAGCACAAACCAACCACAGTCAAAGGGAGGGCAAAGTGAGCAGTTTGGGAGCCCCTTGAATGTTCGCTTCCTGAAGATGATTGTGAAGGTGACATCCCTCTCTTTCTCTTCGTTTTTTTTCACTTCTTCACAAAGCTGTTGACACTGAGATTTCTGGTTTTACTTTTGGTGTTCCAAAATGTCCATGGACAGGAATTGGGGCTCCCCAGAAGGTGAGGCAGTGAGGTCTGTTCATGATTTCAGCCAGGGAAATGAGGCCTAAGGATAGGATTAGAGAGGGCGTGATTAAGACCAGCCAGCCTGTTGTAAGAATGCACTCAGGAGTCTTGGTTGGCTGATTCTGATGAGTTTGAGAGAGCCTGTGGAGAAGTGAAGGCTGATGGGGTATCCTTTCTCTCCACAGAACTTCCTTCAGGGACTGCTCACCAAGGACCCCCGGCAGCGTCTGTCCTGGCCAGACCTGTTACATCACCCCTTTATTGCTGGTCGTGTCACCAGTGAGTCCTTAGGGTTCCCAGGGCTCTTGCACTTCCCTAGTACTCTACCCAATGCAACCCCTGACCCCAACGTCTGGATCCAACATATATTCGTTTCCCCACCAGCTTGAATTTTCTCCCTAGCCCTTTGCATGACCCTTGCCACTTCCCTTGTAACCCTAGTCCCTCTTTGTCATTTTGTCAAAAGGGTCTCCTTCCACAGAAGCCTGGAGATGCTGAAGTTGTCTCCGGCCAAATGGAAACAGTGGCGCAGCTCCAGTGTGATCACCTGTCCCCCTCTTCTCTCCTTGCAGTATTAACTGAGTCAGCAGGCCCAGATTTGGGTACCCCATTCACCAGTCGCTTACCCCCAGAACTTCAGGTCCTAAAGGACCAACAGGCGCATCGTCTGGCCCCCAAGGGCAATCGATCTCGCATCTTGCGGCAAGCCTATAAGCACATGGCTGAGGAGGCCAAGCAGAAGGTTTGTGGGGCAGAAGGGCATGTATGACATAGCCAGGCTAGTGACTGGGGGAGTTGGAGAAGGAGGGTGACTTTCTAGGGTTGGGAAAGGGCCACGAATAGGATTCATAGTGCTTTATGACAACCAAGTAGTTCTGACTCAGTGTCTCATTTCCCGCAGAAACACCAGAACACAGGACCTGCCCTCGAGCAAGAGGACAGGACCAGCAAGGTGGCTTCTGGCACAGCCTCTCTGCCCAGACTAAAGGCCACTCCTCAGGAACCAAGCCTCTTGACTGGGGTCTTAGGCTCAGAAATGAAGAGCAGCTGGGCTGAGTGGAGGGCTGGAGAAGCTCCCCCTGCACCTTGGTGAGGAGGGTAGAACCAGGGATTTATAGGATGAGGTCGCTTGCAGATCTTTGGCTCCAGTCAAAGCAAATACAGCATGGTCCCTGTCACTCACTACTGCCTAAATGTAGACAGGGCCCTGGGAGTCTTGAGTCCTGGGTGCCTGAACCCTAATTCCAGGTATTGATACTTTCCTGATTCATCAGGAAACGTGGAAACTTTCCTTTCTCTATGTCTCAGTTGTATTGATTCATTAACTGAAAAGGAAAGAATCATCTCCACGCAAAATTAAAGATTATTTGAGTTGAGACCTACGGGTGAAAACCGCCAAGGTAGCTTTGAGAAGAAGATCCAAAGTGGGAGGGCAGTCAAGGATATGCGTGTAGTGGACCTATCCTGTCCTGGCCAGATCCTAGAAGGAGGTCTCCTCTAGCCAATCCTATATGGCTTATTTTTCATTCCTATCCTGGATGTAGAGGGAGGGACAAGTTCATGAACTCTAAGCCTCACAGGTCTGGAACTCATCTTACTCCCTGCTTCCTCTAGCAGGGAAAACTGGATCACCCAGGATTGTGAGCAAGCATTCCCAGAGCTGAGGCCAGAGGTGGTGGGCCAGCAGAGCCTTGATGCAGTGGACCTAGAAAATGAGGTGAGACTTAGGGGCTCCTCCTGGCCTTGTCCCTGCCATGGGATGTTGGGTCTTGGTAGATGTTTTCTAGAACAGTGATTCCCAACCCTCCAATGAATAGCTCCCTTTGTGTTAAAAATTGCTTTCATATTATTTATAGATTTTAATTGCATAGTATCTGAACATTTAATTATCAAAAATTGGAGTACATAAGTAAAAAGGAAAGTCCCTCTTGAGCCTTATTTCAGTCCCAGAGGTGTCTGTCTCCTTCTTTTTTGTGCTTTTACATATATTTATATATATGTCCACATAGAATATATAGTTTGGCTGTTTTTACATTACTGAGTTCATACCATATGTATCATTTTGCCTCATGCATCTCTTACATGATCTGTTCTAGAGATCTTTCTACATCTACTTCAATCTTTTGTTTTTTTAAGGTTTTAACTTTTTATTTTGAAAACATTTCAAACTTAAAGAATAATTGTGAAAATAGAACCAAGAATTCTTATATACCCTTTCACCCAGATTCACCAATTGTTAAAATTCTGCCACATTTGCTTTATGGTTCTTTCTCTATATGTGGACACATCATCTTTCTGAATCATTTTAGGGTAAGTGCAGACATGCCCCTTTACTGCCAAATATACTTTAGTGCGTATTTGCTAGGATCAAGGTGATGCACTTGCACCACCTCAGTGCAATTATAGAAGTCAGGAATTTGACACTGATATGATTCTGTTACTTAATCTACAGTCCATATTTAGATTTTGCCAATTGCTCTGGTAATGTTCTTTATAGCAAAAACATGTTTTTCCCCCGGTCCACAATCCAATCCAGTGTTAAGCATTGCATTTAGTTGTTATGCTTCCTTAGTCTCCTTTAATCTGAAACCGTTCCTACTCTTTCTTTGTCTTTCATGCTTGATAGTTTTTAGGTGCACAGGTCAGTTATTTTGTAGAATGTTCCTCAAATTGATACTTTTGCATAATTAGATTCGAGTCATGCATTTTTGGTGGGCACACTACATAAGTGATGCATTGTCAGTACTACAGTCTTTTTAACAACTTCTTAGTATGTCCTAATATGTATGTGCCATGGTTGATTATTCCCTTACTGACTGGCTCTATGATGTTTCCAATTTTTTGTATTATAAACCACGCAGTGGGTATCTTTCTAGGTGTCTCTTTATGCACACCTGCCAGTGTTCTCCAAGAGACTTTTCAAGACCCCTCATTTACTGCCAACTCTACCTTTTTAAACGGGTGGCTGAAAAAAATACATCTGTGCCAAAGGAGTCACTGGCCTTTTGCAGTTACTTCATGATTCCCCAGGTTGGGAGCTACTACCCTTGAACCTGACACACTCCTCCTGACCTCCTTCACTCCCTGATGCCTCAGGAGCCAGACAACGATGATGCTGAGTGGCGGCACCTGCTAGAGACCACTGAGCCTGTGCCTGTCCAACTGAAGGCCCCTCTCGCCCTGCTGTGCAATCCCGACTTCTGCCAGCGCATCCAGAGTCAGCTGCATGAGGCTGGAGGGCAGGTAATCAGCAGAAGCATACCATGGATGAAACTGGAGACTGTTTTCACAGATGAGGCATTAAAAAACGTTGATTGACATAAGGAGAAAGAAAGTTTGTCCCTTTCCTATTCTCTTTCACTCCGTCTGTTTAATTCAAGGAGATTTGCCAGCCTCCTTTAGTAATACAGAAAGAGCACACCTTGGGTTTTTCTTTCTGAAGGGAAAAGTATTCCTCTAGAGCAGGGATCAGCAAACTTTCTGGTGGAACTTTTTTAGGCACTGTTGTCCAAGAGGAAAAAATGAAGGATATCATGTAACTACTTCTATAATGAGAGAAAACACATTTCCACAAAATTTTTGACAAAATTAAAAATATCTAACAATTTAAGTGTGTAATATTTTCTAATGCAGGTATACTAATGAGAAGAATGAGATTCTTTTTTAGGGGATAACATCTTGCTTAATTGGTGTTCATAATTAGTATTTTCTCCTACAAAGCCTTTCCTTGTGTCTCTGAAATGGTGACCTTCTTTCCTGGGAACTCACCGAAGTATGTTGCGTGCATCTCTCTCTCTTTTCTTTAAAGTTTTTTTTTTTAATTTTATTTATTTATTTAGGCTGCATCAGGTCTTAGTTGTGTCATGTGGGATCTTTCGTTGCGGCCAGCGGGCTTCTCTCTAGCTGTGGCGTGTGGGCTCCAGGGCGTGTGAGCTCTGTAGTTTGCAACACGTGGGCTCTCTCGTTGAGGCGCACGAACTCAGAAGTTGTGGCGCGTGGGCTTAGTTGCCCCGCGGCATGTGGGATCTTTGTTCCCCGACCAGGGATCGCACCCGCATCCCCTGCATTGGAAGGCAGATTCTTTACCACTGGAAAGAAGTCCCTTTTCTTTAAAGTTTTAAAAAATAATTTTTAGTAAATTTACCAAGTTGTGAAATCATCACCATAATTCAGTTTTAGAATATTTTCATCGCCCCAATAAGATGATTCTTAACTATTTACAGTTAATTATCATTCCCACTCTTAGTAACAGGAGACTACTTTCTGTTTATTATATTTGTGTTTTCTGAACATTTCATATAAATATGATCATACAATGTATAGTCTTTGTGTCTGACTCCTTTCTCTTAGCATAAATTTTTTTTTTTTTTTTTTGCGGTACGCGGGCCTCTCACTGTTGTGGCCTCTCCCATTGCGGGACGCGCAGGCTCAGCGGCCATGGCCATGCGTCCAGTCGCTCCACGGCATGTGGGATCTTCCCAGACTGGGGCATGAGCCCGTGTCCCCTGCATCGGCAGGCGGACTCTCAACCACTGCGCCACCAGGGAAGCCCTTAGCATAATGTTTTTGAGGTTCATTCATGTTGTAGCGTGTATCAATACTTACTTCCTTTTCATTGCTGATTAATATTCTGCTGTACGGATATATCACATTTTGTTTATCCATTCCACTAATTGATTGAAATTTGGATTGTTTCCAGTTTTTGGCTTTTATGAATAATGCTGCTTTGAACATCCATGAGGAAGCCTTTGTGTGGACATATGTTTTCATTTCTCTTGGGTGTATGCATAGGAGTGGAATTGCTGGGGCATATAGTAAATTTATGTTTAAGATTTTAAGAAACTGCTGGACTATTTATTTTCCAAAGTGGCTGCACCATTTTACATTCTCACCAGCAATGTATGAGGGTCCTCATTTCTCCACCTCCTTGCCAACATGTATTACTGTCTGTCTGTCTGAGTGTAGTCATTTTAGAGAGTGTGAAATAGTATCTCATTGCCATTTTAATTCACATTTTGCTAATGACTAATGTGAGCATCTTCTCATGTGCTTATCAGACATTTGTATTAATATTTCTTCTTTGGTGAAATATCTAATCATTTCTTTGGCTCATTTTTAAGTTGGGTTGTTTTCTACTTGAGTTGTAAGAGTTCTCTGTATCTTCTGGATACAAGACCTTTATCAGATGTATGATTTGCAAATATTTTCTCTCAGTCTCTAATATGTCTTTTTATTCTCATAAGAATGTCTTTTGAAGCACAAAGGTTTTAAATTTTGAAGTCCAGTTACCATTTTTTTCCTTTGTGGATTATGCTTCTGGTGTTGTATCTGAGAAATCTTTTTTAAACCCAAAGTCTTGAAGATTTTCTCCTATGTTTTTTCTAAAAGCTTTCTAGGGCTTCCCTGGTGGCGCAGTGGTTGAGAGTCTGCCTGCTGATGCAGGGGATACGGGTTTGTGCCCCGGTCTGGGAAGATCCCACATGCCGCGGAGCGGCTGGGCCTGTGAGCCATGGCCGCTGAGCCTGCGCATCCGGAGCCTGTGCTCCGCAACGGGAGAGGCCACAACAGTGAGAGGCCCACATAAAAAAAAGCTTTCTAGACTTTTAGCTCTGACATTTAGGTCTCTGACCCATTATGAGTTGATTTTTGTATATATTGTGAGGTAGGGATATAAGTTCATCTTTTCGCATGTGGTTATGTAATCATCCCAGCACCATTTGTTGAAAAGACTCTCCTTTCGCTCTTGAATTACCTTGGCACCCTGCACCTCTCTTTTGGCCCTTATCTGTCCTCCTTGTGTTGGATAATTTTTCAGTGGGGAAAGAGGTTAACAACTCTGCCTCCAGGGTAAAACTTTCTGAGTTAGAATTCCAGCCAAACTACTGTGTGTGATTATTGACTACTTACTTAACCTATCTAGAAGCTTCAGTCTCCTCGTCTATAAAATGGGTAATTGTATTTACTTTACAATCACTAGGGTTATTGTAAAGATTAAGTGAGTAAATAAGTGAACAGATTCAGAACAGTGAGTAGCATATTGTAAAGCACTTGATGTAAACGTTAGTCTTCTTTTGAAGAATAACCTTTTAAAAAATAACCATTTAAAAATATAATACTGTCCTGTATAAAAATAAGTGGTGGGTAGGATCTGGCCTGCAGGTCATATTTTGTCAACCCCTGATCTAGAGTTGAATAATATTGTTTTGTCTATCTGGAGTTGAGCAACATTGTTTTGTGCCCATTGTTTCTAATTTTCAGAAATGTGTGTGTGTGGTTTCATTTTGTTTTAAGGTGAAGGGCTGGAGAAGGGAGGGAGCAGATAGGAATGTCACTGGGTCTGTCACTGACTGAGGGGAGGTGTTCCCCCCTCCCCCCGGTTTGGTCACCTCTAAGTCAGGTGACCTGGCCATCTATATTCCCCTTTCCTGGTACACTTTCCCTGTTTCTCTGTTCTCCTTTTCTGGGTTTTAGATTCCCAAAGAAAGGAATGAGAACATTTGGTCTGCTTTGTCAACATCTTGGGGACACTTGGTATCTGTGACTCTCCTTCCTTTACCTCTCATAATATCGATTACTGTCTCTTTCCCTTGTGTCACCCAGATCCTGAAAGGCGTGCTGGAGGGCGCTTCCCATATCCTTCCTGTGCTCCGGGTCCTGAGCAGTCTTCTGTCCAGCTGCGGTGGTGACTCTGTTTCCTTGTACTCCTTCTGCCGTGGGGCAGGCCTCCCCCGACTGCTGCTCAGCCTCCTCCGACACAGCCAGGAGAGCAGCAGTATCCAGCAGGTAAGCTCTGCGCCAGGAGCCTCTCAAGACTTAGCAGAATTTCTTCTCTTTGGATTTCTTTTCTTTGAATTGCCATCTCTATTTGGCCTAACTGCCTTTTCTTTTCTTCTCCTCCTCTCTAGTTAGTAGATCATGAATTGCAAATTCTCATGCCTTCCGAGGCCAGGCAGATAATGTCATCAGTGAAGTAGACTGTGTGTGACTATATGAATCAGTGGGAATGTGAGAAACTGAGGTCTCGTGCTCAGTCGGAACAGGGCATCCTCTCCTCAGCGCCAGCTCACTGTTGTTAGGGGGGAATATGGGCTCAGTGGTGCCAGATCCTGCAGTTCTCCAAGAAAAGCTAGAAATCCAGATTTTTATGTGCAATTTCCCAATATTTAAAGCACTGTGTTTTTGTTTGTTTGTTTGTTTTTGCGGTACGCGGGCCTCTCACTGTTGTGACCTCTCCCGTTGCGGAGCACAGGCTCCGGACACGCAGGCTCAGCGGCCATGGCTCACGGGCCCAGCTGCTCCGTGGCATGTGGGATCTTCCCGGACCGGGGCACGAACCCGTGTCCCCTGCATCGGCAGGCAGACTCTCAACCACTGCGCCACCAGGGAAGCCCAGAGCACTGTGTTTTGAAAGGTAAAATCCTAGGCTTTACAGGCCTGATTTTATAGAGCAGGGTACTGAAATTCAGAGATTAACTAACTCACACACAGGCACTGCCTTGTCAGTGGTCATGGAGATGATAAGCGGGAGAGCTAGGAGTGAGTCTCAGTGTCCACGTCCCTGTGCTGTGTCCCGACGCAGCTGAGCTGGAAGGCCGGAATGCAGAAATGTTTGACGTCGCCAAGGCTTGGCGGCCGGAAGCTGCACTCTGCTGATGAGTGTTAGTCTTGAGAGTTTTTAAGGAATTTAGAAAAGAATTTGAGCTATTTTGAAAAATAGAACCTCCTAAACTCCAAAATGCTGTTCAGGCCCAAACAAGACACATTTTCTGGCTGTTTACAGCCCGTCGGCCGCCACTTTGTTACCTCTGGATCTCCTCTCTCTGTCCAAACACTCTCTTCCCTCTGTCCCTTTCTGTTTGCTCAGGCTGACTGGATATCTGACACACTTTTCCCTTAGTCTTTGTTTCCATCCCCTACATTGCCCTAACTCTCTGTCCTCTTCCCTGGCAGCAACGTTGGTATGGGACCTTCTTACGGGACCTGATGGCTGTGATTCAGGCCTACTTTGCCTGCACCTTCAATCTGGAGAGGAGCCAGACAGGTGACAGGTGGGATGAGAGGCATTTTGCTCTGTTGGCCAGTTTGGCTTCAGTTTCTACCCCCATTTCTTCCCATCCCCATTAGGAAGAGGCTAAGTAAGGAGAAGCCATGATTTGTGCCAGGTTTAGGGGTCAGCTGAGTGACCTCTTAGGGTCCACCTAGTCCTCTTAAGGACCCCGAGACACCTCCAGGTTTGCGCACGGAATTTCAGGTTCTCAGCGTTAGCAGTCACACTAAATGGAAGGCTCAGGGTGTGAATAAACTAGAGAAAATGACAAAGAGACCTGGAGGTGTGTGCGTGCAACTGTGTGTGTGTGAGGGGAGAGAAGAGAGAGCACTCTGATGTGTTCCTTTGCAGAGATTCTCCTACCTACCCTGAAAGGACCCATTCACAACATGTGGGCTTTTAGTAGAGAGATGAGAAGAAACCACGGACTCATTTTTTCCTAGCCTACAGGTATTTCAGGAAGCTGCTGACCTCTTTCTGGAGCTCTTGGGGAAACTACTGGCCCAACCAGATGACTCCGAGCAGACTTTGCGGAGGGACAGCCTTATGGTAATCTGCTCCCCCTTCCAGATTTCTGTCTGTGGTTTTCCTTGTGTTTCTCCCATCCTCTTTCTTATGGCTCTGTAGGGTTAGATCGAGGTAATACAACAAATGTTTGTTGAATGCCAGCTATGTGTCATATGCCAGCTGAGTAAGAGAAAGTCCCCATCTTCAAGGGATCAGGGCTAGTCTAATAGGAGAGATGTGATCAAGGACAACAGTGTGAAAAGTACATTAGAACTTCATGTAAAATGTAGAAGCACCACTGAAGAAGACTAACGCTACTTGGAGGGTCATAGAAGAAATCTTTTTTTTTTTTTTGGACCCGCCACGCATTATGTGGGATCTTAGTTCCCTGACCAGGGATTGAACCCGCGCCCCCTGCAGTGGAAGCACGGAGTCTTAACCACTGGACCACCAGGGAAGTCCCTAAGACTCATAGAAGAAATCTTGAAGGAGGAAATCATCTCTGCTAGGATTTGAAGAATGAACAGAAGTTTGCCAGGTGGATGAGGCAGGAAAGTAGGGAGGACATTCCGGGTAGAAAGAGCAACCTATATTAAAGCCCAGAGGCATTAAGCAGTGTGGCCTACTTTAGGGAACCACAAATAGAAGTATTTCTTCTTGAATAGACTTACAGATCAGCTAGTATTCCCAACCTTGTTTGTCCTACAGACTAGTAACCTATGTGGGTTCTCTCTCCTGGACTCTGGAGGTGAGGGATGGGAAGGGAGGCTTGAAAGAGAAAATAGTTGAGTTCTGACTGATCTCAGAGGAGACAGAGAGGAACATGTTCAAGGAGGGAAACAATTGCCTGGTCGTTGTTCAGACTGGAAACTGGGAGCACAGATTTGGGCTACATTCCCATTTCCAGCTAGCAGCTAGCAGGTCCATTCAGTTTTTTCTTTTTTTTTTAGAAAAAAAAAAAATTTATTTATTTCTGGCTGCATTGGGTCTTCATTGCTGCGCACGGGCTTTCTCTAGTGGCAGCGAGCGGGGGCTACTCTTCGCTGCGGTACACGGGCTTCTCATTGCAGTGGCTTCTCTTGTTGTTGCGGTACGCGGGCTTCTCATTGCAGTGGCTTCTCTTGTTGTGGAGCACGGGCTCTAGAGCACAGGCTCAGTAGTTGTGGTGCTTGGGCTTAGTTGCTCCCCAGCACGTGGGATCTTCCCGGACCAGGGCTCGAACCCGTGTCCCCTGCATTGGCAGGCAGATTCTTAACCACTGCGCCACCAGGGAAGCCCAGTCTCTTCTATTCTGAGAGCCCATTTTAACATCCCTCACCCTTTCCGGTAAGGAAGCTTTTAACATCTAATGTACATTTTGGCCAGTAGTGACTCACATTATTGGTCAGCACTTCTCATATGTCACTGTGCACTGAGTAGCATGGGGAGTTTGGAATAAATTCCCCACCTCTCGAAATTCTGAATCAATAAGACTGGGTTGGGAAGGACCCATGAATCCCCAGGAATTCTTATACTCAGGGTCCACAGATAATACTTTGAGAAACATCATCTAGGGAGCAGCTGATCAGAATAAAAGGATTGACACCTAAAATTCCTGTCCTTGAAATGTGAAGGCAGATATATTGCACTTTCTGTGTGAGGAATCCTTAAGAGTCCATCAGCTGGTCCCCCTGGGTTTCTCTCCTCCTTTCTCAGGCTCTCCGGGCACTCCTGCTCCTTATGCTAAGTCCAGTCAGTTTTCTGATGTGCCTGCTGTTAACCCTGCCTTGTCTCCCTTAGTGCTTTACTGTTCTGTGTGAAGCCATGGATGGGAACAGCTGGACCATCTCCAGAGCTTTCTACTCCAGCCTGATGACCACACAGCGGGCTGTGTTGGATGGGCTCCTTCATGGCTTGACAGTTCCACAGCTCCCTTTCCACAGCCCCCCAGGTAACTGGAATGGGAAGGTAAGGTTCTCTCAACCTACTTGTTGAGTAGGTCCAGCTCTGCTCTTTCTCCTGCCATTACCTAGAATAGGCCTGGCATTTAGTGAGTGTTAAATAACTACGAACTGAGAGAAAGAATGGGGAATCTTAAACAACCAACGCCTTCCTGCGTTCTTTGCCTTTCTCGCAGGAGCCCCCGAGGTGAGCCAGCCGCTTCGGGAGCAGAGTGAGGATCTGCCTGGAGCCCTCTCCTCGGCACTGGCAGCCTTATGCACTGCTCCTGTGGGGCTACCTGGCTTGTGGGAAGCCAAGGAGCAGGTCTGAGCTACAATTTTTTTGTTCCTGTCCTCCCTGTTGCCAGAGTAGGGGAGGCTGGCCCAGCTTTTCAGAAAGGCAGAAAAACAAGCTTTTATGCCTCCCCTTACTCAGTACTTCCAGAAACAGATGCTCCCACTAGGTTTGAGCCACTTGTAGAACATGATGTAGCCAAAATCCCAGAGCGCTTGGCCAGCTGATTAGAGAGCTCAGTGACAAACTGCCCGTGTGGTGGGGTAGCTGATCTGAAGTCACCAGTGATGCTTCCTCAAGGGTTCCAGATTCAAATTTCCTGCTCCCTTTTGGCTAGCAACACTTTCCTCTGTACCTGCCTGCAGTGGGACTTACCTAGGCCTTGCCTTTTGGTTCTCCACTGGCCATGAAGACTGGCAATGGAATGGGGGCTGAGGTTCCTGGTGAATCTGGGGAAGAGTGGCTAGCAGGGGGTTGAGAGTCCTGATTAGTTGGAGATATGAGAGGAATGGGATTGGAATAATGGGAATGGGATTGAGTCTTCAGGTATGTCTCTACAGATCTCTCGGCATTTGGCAAACCAGCTCACTGAAGACAGCAACCAACTGAGGTCATGCCTCATCTCTGGCCTGCAGCATCCCATCCTGTGCCTACACCTTCTCAAGGTACTGCCTGCCCATTAACTCTTGGCCTTTCAGACTTCTTTTTCACCCCAAGGACGAAGAGAGAGAGAGAGAGAGACACTGAGAGAAATGAGAGACTCCCCCCTTGGAGGACCCCTTTCTGCTTTTAAAATTGTTCAGCTGAGATGACCCTACTGTCAGCCAGTCCTCAGCAGAACCGAGAAGTGTCCACATCTCACAGTCTTTCAGCAAGAGGCACAAGTGGCCTGAATTTCTCTAATATCCCTAGTTGTGGATACTAGATCTGTCGAGAGGCTAGCCTGCTTTCAGCTGAGCCTTTCAATCTAGGAGCCCAGGGGCTTCTCTGCCTCCCTGACAGACTCCTTCCCACTCCCTTTAGGTTCTCTACTCCTGCTGCCGCGTCAGTGAGCCCCTGTGCCGTCTTCTAGGGCAAGAACCCCTGGCCTTGGAGTCACTGTGGAAGTTGGTCCAGGGCAAGGTAGGCCAGCAGCACGAGTGGGCATCTCTTGGGGGCCCCACCATCTCAATCAGAGGAGCCTCTGGTATCTCGGGTTTCCTTTGTAGGTAAAGGTAGTGGATTGGGAAGAGTCTGCTGAAGTGACACTGTACCTCCTCTCCCTTCTTGTCCTTCACCTCCAAGATCTGCCTTCTGGGTGAGTCATAAAGCAGGGTCTCTCCACTGAAATCTTCCACCCACATAGCTCACCCAGACATGGATTGTGGGGAGTGACACCCTACAGCCTATCCTTAGGAGGGATTGGGACAGAGGGTGTGAGGGTTTCTGTACAAAAGAGACCTAGATTCCCACCGACTTTGTGCCTTGGAGGTGGACATGCAGCCTAGGTGGAGAGTGCCATCCAAGGGAGAGGGCAGGCCACGCAGCAGCCTTGATGTATCTCTTTATTCCAGAATGGAGAAGCTAGGCAGTGAGGTTGCTACTGTCTTTACCCATTCACACGTCGTCTCTCTTGTGGTGAGTTTTCAACCTTCATCTTCCTCCACTTTTCACCCTATCATCCCACCCTTCTGCAAGCAGGAGAGTCATTTCCTAATTTGCAGCTGTTTGTGAGGCATTCTTCTGGACCAGGACAGAGAAATAAATCCTCTCTGCCTGCCCCGAGTACCATTCAGATGCGGACATTCCTCCACCTTGTCTAACTCTCCACAGAGCGCGGCAGCCTGTCTGTTGGGACAGCTTGGTCAGCAAGGGGTGACTTTTGACCTCCAGCCTGTGGAGTGGATTGCAGCTGCCACACATGCCCTGTCCGCCCCTGCGGAGGTGAGCTCTACCAGGGAATGCAGACACGCATTTTCTTGGAGTCAAATAAGATCTGCGTTCAGGGAGAAAGACTGAAATGCCAGCAAGCCTAGAGGAAACTAAGGAGTGCGAGAGAATCAGGGCGTCTTTCCTGTCCTATCTTTCTGCCCTCGGATAATAGATCCCTCTGAGTCCAGACGGTGGAGGGGGAGGCAGCGTGTTTCTCTCTCTCTCTCTCTCTCTCTCTCTCTCTCTCTCTCTCTCTCAGTGAGCTTTCTTAAAGGAAAACCTGCCCATTTGTTCAACCGGTAATTATTTCACACATAAATATAATAGTGAGTACCAGGCACTATTCTCGGCTTCGAGAATACAGTAGTGAAAGGAGAGACACAAAAATCTCGCCCATGTGGAGCTTGTGTAAGTCCTCAGTGGCTTCCCACGGTTTCTGGGTTAATGTCTAAATTGGTTAGCAGGCTACTCAAAGCTCATCTGTTCCCTCTGGGCTCTCTAATCCTGCTCCACCAAAGAATTAACATTTCCAAAGTTCACTGTGGTCTCTCACGACCTGCCTTTATGGAAGCTTTGACCTCTCCCTTCCTCATCTCCCTTTTATTTTATTTTTTTTAATTTTATTTATTTATTTAACATCTTTATTGGAGTATAATTGCTTTACAATGGTGTGTTAGTTTCTGCTTTATAACAAAGTGAATCAGTTGTACACATATACATATGTCCCCATATTTCTTCCCTCTTGCATCTCCCTCCCTCCCCCTCATCGCCCTTTTAAACTTTTAATCCCATCAGTTTCCTACCTCCAGGAGGCAGAATTAGCACTCTCAGCTGTGTCCCGTTCCCTCTCCACAGCCCTCGCTCACAGCCTCTCGTGTAGCAAAAGCATCTTCCTAAACCCTAATGGTTTGTCTGCCTGCTCACCCTACTGACTGTGTGTCTTTAGGACAGAGTTAGTCATTGAACGAATAGGCAGGAGCCAAGACTCCTAAGTCCAAAAGAGCTCTCCCCACTACACCAGGCTGAAGAAGAACTCCTTCTGCCTGACTTGGAGTTGGGAGCACAGACCTGTGTGGTCACCTCACCCCTCTCAGATCTGCTCTCTTCCCACCTCTCTCCAACAGGTCCGGCTGACTCCACCGGGTGGCTGTGGATTCTATGATGGCCTCCTCATGCTTCTGCTGCAGCTGTTCACCCAGGTACAGCTGCATCCTAGGACGGATGGGAAGTAAGGAGAGCTGCTTTGGGGAGCCACTGGCCAATAGGAAGGAAGAAGCAACACAGTCACCTCTCCTCTCACACTGCCTGTGATGGCCTTAAATTGGACCCATCTGCTGTCAGTACGGACCCTTTAAGGGGAACCATTCAGCTACATCCCTTGGGATTCAGTGGGAAGAAAGTTGTAATTCCCTGGTTTCCAGTAGACATACACATGGGTTGAGAGGTCAGGGGTTAAGATGTGATAAGCGAGGGAACTGGGACAACAGGGAAATCCTAGGTGGGAAAACAGAAGGAATTATTTCTGGGACTCCTCTTCCTCGTAGGTCAGGGACAGGAGTGAAAAAAGGCGTTTTGACTCCTGTCTTGGACCTCCTCGTTTACCCTCATTCAATTTTGTCTCTAGCAGGGGAAGGGTAATCCAATAAGCGTCGTGGCTAGCTCAGAAATGTGGACCGTTCTGTGGCACCGCTTCTCCATGGTGCTGAGGCTCCCTGAGGAGGCATCTGTACAGGAAGAGGAGCTGTCACTGTCCAGTCCACAAAGCCCAGAGCCAGACTGGACGCTGATCTCACCCCAAGGTATCTTTCCAACAGCACGGCCCCTTTTGTTGGGCCAGTGTGTTGATTCCTCTTCAAGAGGAAACAGCCTAGAACTGGGTTAGCCCATGGAGGTGGCTACTGCTGCTGCCGCCTGGGGAGAGGGTGGCAGAGTCTGTGCTGGAGCTGCTCAAGGACAGGGAAGGGACTGAACAGGGGGTAGCCCTGAGAGCCTTGGGGACGCAGGGGCATCCTGACCTCTTGCCTGCTCCACTGGGTCTCCATTCTTGGTGTTTCCAGGCATGGCAGCCCTGCTGAGCCTGGCCATGGCCACCTTTACCCAGGAACCCCAGTTATGCCTGAGCTACCTGTCTCAGCGTGGAAGTATCCTCATGTCCACCCTGAAGCATCTGCTTTCGCCCAGCTTCCTGCATCACCTGACCCAGGCGTGAGTTGGAGCTAGAGGAGGGAGACCAGAAAATTCAATGTTGGCTATTGGGGGTAGGAGGAGGGGAAGGCAGGAGAGAAAGAGCTGACAGCTTGAGCTATGAGGCAAGAAATGGGATTACTGAGGTTGGGGAAGGAGAGCTGGACTAGGGAATTTGAGAAGAGTCGGGGGAAGAAAGCTAAAGGTTGGGTGCACCAGACTGAGTATATCCTTCCACTCTCCCCTCCTTAGGCCTCAGGGGCCTGAGTTTCTCCCTGTTGTGGTGCTCTCTGTCTGCCAGCTCCTCTGCTTCCCCTTCGCCCTTGATGTGGACGCTGACCTCCTTGAAGGTGTCTTGGCTGACCTCACAGACTCAGAAGTCACAGCCCACCTGCTGCAGGTACTGGGGAAGCTACCCAGGCAGGAAGGTGGGAGAGGAAGGTGGCCCAACCCTGTGTACTCAAATTCACTTCCCGACAGCTCCGGGGCTCTCGCAGGCCCCTGTAGGAGTGCAGCACCTGGTTTGGTCTAAGAGTTGAGTGGAGAAAGCATTCGGGCCTGAACAGAGGCATGTGGTTGGAGCTGGGCTGGTGTCTCTTCTCTCCATCAGTCCGATATCTGGATTCACTTGGAACCCAGTGGGGTGGATATCTTAGTCTAGGCCCTGGAGACTCAGCTCCTCAGCTGGGAATCACTTCCTTGGAAATTGTTGGCATTAAGCAGTGAGCAGGTCTCTGAAGCAGAGAGACTAAGTCCTTGCAGAGCAAGGCATGGACTTGGGAAGGACCTATTCTCCTGGGCTCCACGTTGTGTCTCACGTGCGGTGCTATGGCTCAGGTCTTCCGGCTTTCTGTGGTATTCTCACCAGAGTTTGGCTTTTCTCTCTCCCAGATTGTGGGCTCCGTCTCAGTATCTTGCTGCAGTGTATTCTCCCTCTCCCTGAGCTCTTTTGCCTGCACCCCTCCCCCTTCTCCAGGTCTGCCGCCACCATCTTCCACTGACACAAGCCGAGCTGCCCATCAGTCTGCTCACACGCCTGGCTCTCTCTGAGCCCCCCTCTCTCAACCAGTTTGTGAGCACAGTAGCCGCCTGCCCTACAACCACCATCTCATTCCTCTCAGCTGCCCTCCTGGGTGACCAGCCGCTGCTGACCTCTGACCTTCTCTCCCTCCTGGCCCACACCGCTCGGGTACTGTCTCCCAGCCATTTGTCCTTTATCCAAGAACTCCTGGCTGGCCCCGATGAATCCTATCGGCCCCTGCGCAGCCTCCTGGGCCACCCAGAGAATTCTGTGCGGGCCCGTACTTACGGGCTTCTGGGACACTTGCTCCAGCACAGCGGAGCCCTGCGTGGGGCTCTGCAGAGCCAGCTAGGGCTGCTCAACCTTTTGCTGCTGGGGCTTGGAGACAAAGACCCTGCTGTGCGGCGTGGTGCCAGCTTTGCTGTGGGCAATGCAGCCTACCAAGCTGGTCCCCTGGGGCCTGCCCTGGCAGCTGCGGTGCCCAGTATGACCCAGCTGCTTGGAGATCCTCAGGCTGGTATCCGGCGCAATGCCGCATCAGCTCTGGGCAACTTGGGGCCTGAGGGTTTGCGGGATGAGCTGTTACGGTGCCAAGTACCCCAGCGGCTCCTAGAGGTGGCGTGTGGAGACCCCCAGCCAAATGTGAAGGAGGCCGCCCTCGTTGCCCTCCGGAGCCTCCAACAGGAGCCCTGCATCCATCAGGTACACCTGAGGGGACTTCGGAATCACCATGATGGGGCTGGTTTTCACAACATTTTTCTGAGATAGTCTTTAAGGAATTGGGACATCTAGAAACCCAACCTGTATCCTTCTCTGGGAGCAGGAAACCCAGGGGCCGTGACTTGGTCATGAGTTTTTCATCTAACATTTCACACCTGGAGAAGGGAGGGGACCTGGAAGAAGGCTCCATTGGGCTAGAAGATGCCTGGGATCTCAAGGACCAGCGTTTCTTTCTTCTGGAGGCTGTGCAGGAGGGAGGTGAGGGAAGACTAGACGTTGAGGTATAGAGTGGTTTCATTCTGAGGGCCACGAAGGTGCTAACTATCTTTTTTAGCACTTACCATGTGAAAAGTACCATGCTTAGTATTTTACCTTTATTATCTGGTTTAAGCTTTACTTCTCATTTTGCAGGCAATGAAACTGAGGCACAAAGAATTTAATAACTTGTCCAAGTTACAAAGCTAATATGTAGGATTGGACTTTTGAACTCAAGAGTCTAAGTCCAGAGCCCATGCTGTTTTTTTTTTTTTCCTTTGGCCGTGCCACACGGCATGTGGGATCTTAGTTTCCTGACCAGGGATTGAACCTGTGGCCCCTGCAGTGAAAGCATGGAGTCTTAACCATTGGACCACCAGGGAAGTTCCTAGAGCCCATGTTTTTAACCTGCTTTACTCTGTTTTTTCTTCTTTCTGCTCAATTTTCAGTATATAAACAGCCCAATGGAAAAATCATACGTCTACCTGTGATAAAGCTAAACCTCCAAATTATAATAGTTCAATGTGGCAGCATCGGGTGGTTCATGCAGAAGAGAGGTTCTGACAAGATGGTTATGATATATATTAGAGTTTTTTGGCAGTCCGTGTGGGGAAATAATAAAAGGGATTCTTGGTAGTAAGGAGGTCCAGACCCACTGGTCTAGATCCACAGCTGGGAGTCTCACCTTTTGGCTTAGTTTTACTGCTGCATTTATTACCTCTTCCTGGGGACAAGTGCATAGGTCCTTTGGTGCCTTGGTTTCATGGTCTGTAACCAAAGAGAATGGAAATAGACCTCTGGTCCTGGTGATTCCTGTCCCCAAGGTCCGTCTTCTCCCACACAACCTATTTTGAGTCCCCAAGAGCTCATTTTCTTTTTCTTCCTTTTCTAGAGTGGGAATTGCTGGGCCAAATCACAGTCCTCTGCATGTCATGTTCTGTCATCTCTCTCTATCCCACAGGTGCTGGTGTCCCTGGGTGCCAGTGAGAAATTAGCCTTGCTCTCTCTGGGGAATCAGTTACTGCCACGTAGCAGTCCCAGGCCGGCCTCTGCCAAACACTGCAGGAAACTCATTCACCTCTTGAGGCCAACCCACAATACATGACCCCAGATTCCTGGGGTCCAGCCTCCAACGTTCATTGCCCTACTGTTGCCAACCCTTCCTTTTTCTGCTCTACAAGCCACCAACTCAACCAAGAGCTAGAGAGACTGAAAGAGATAAGCTGCCAATCAACTGATTTGGGAACGAGAACCTAGAAGAGACTTATGTATAAAACTCCTTCTTTCCTCCAGATTCAGGATGATTTCAGCCAGTAAACTTCATTGTTGTTGGTGCCAGAGGAGATTCCTTTCTTCTCTACATCAGGGGGTCTTTTCTCCAATAATGTGCCTTTAAACCCAAGGGACATGCCTCCTGGACCTTAGGGAGACACCTTCTACCTGAGAGGTCTCTTCCTTTCTGGAGCTCCTGAAATCTTCCCAGCAGGTTCTTGTTTTAGATGCAATGGTCCCAGACAGTGATGAAGACAGAGCCTGCCTCTAGGGGATAGCCTGCTGTGGGGATAAATGCCATCAGTCCCTGTTATGGAGGGCTCCCCAGCCTGTAGCCCCCATTCCCATCCATTGGTGGGGGTGGGAGTGTACCTTTTCTTTCTTCCTTCCTTCCTCCCGTCCTTCCCTTCCCTTTCCTCCCTTCCTTCCTTCCTTCCCTCCCTCCCTCTCTCCTTCCTTTTTTCTTTTTTTTTTTCTTAACCCTACTTGGAGCTGCCAGGGTAAAGAGTTGAGAGGTTCAGCTCTTTTAGCTGATGTGTGATGCTGGAAGCACTGGTTTTCTGTTCACAGAAGATCCTGGTTTGGAAGCTTATTTATATCTTTTCCTGCCTTCCAGCTTCCTCCATCCCAGATGAGCTGCATGTGATCACCTACTTCCAAGCCAGGGCCAGTGGAACTGAAATAGGAAAGGATAGGTTTAAACAGAGGGGTAAATTGGATTGCTTTCTGATCTCAGGCTTAATGACTAGTTTTAATATTTGGTGGAGTTTCAATGTATAGGGAAGCCCAGCTGCTTTAGAAGGATGGCTGTTTATGGAGATTGTGCAGTTTACCAGAAAGGGATGTTTGGCAGGCCCGTTGGTTAGAATCATAATCCATACTGGAAAGCTTAAGCCTTCACTCACTGGATAGCTTGCAACCAGCTTCCCAGAGCCCTAATTTCTCCATCTGTGACATAGGGAGACTACTTTTTGTCCTTCCTTAAATTCCACTTGTTTTAGAAATGAAAGATGAGTAAGGTGCCTTTATTTTTATAAAGAATTCATTTAGACCTCATTTTCATTGCCCACTGTCTGTGTTTATATTTTGGCAAAAATAACATTTTTTTCTAGAGACCGCCATAATTTCTTCCTATCCAGATTATTTCAGTTCAGTTCAATATATATTTATTTATTTGTTTGTTTTTTAAAGTTGTTTATTGAAGTATAGTTGAATTACAATGTGTTAATTACTGCTGTACAGCAGTGACTCAGTTATACATACATATATACATTCTTTTTCATATTCTTTTCTATCATGGTTTGTCACAGGATATTGAATATAGTTCCCTGTGCTATACAGTAGGACCTTGTTGTTTGTCCATTCTATATATATCAGTTTGCATCTGCTAATCCCAAATTCCCAATCCAACCCTCTCCCAGGCCCCTCCCCCTTGGCAACCACCAGTCTATTTTCTATAACGTATATTTATTGAGTCCTTTCTATACGCCAGATACTATTCTAGGCACTGGAGGTAAAGCAATGCCTGTTGGTCATAGAGTTTCCATTCTGGTTGGGGAGACAGTGGGCTTATTAAAATGAGTGAATTGCGGACTCTCCTGGTGGCGCAGCGGTTAAGAATCCACCTGCCGATGCAGGGGACATGGATTCGAGCCCTGGTCGGGGAAGATCCCACATGCCTTGGAGCAACTAAGCCCGTGCGCCACAACTACTGAAGCCCGCACGCCTAGATCCCGTGCTCCACAACAAGAGAAGCCACCGCAATGAGAAGCCCGTGCACCGCAACGAAGAAGTAGCCCTTGCTCGCCGCAACTAGAGAAAGCCTGCGCGCAGCAACGAAGACCCAACCCAGCCAAAAATAAATAAATAAAATATTAAATTACTTAAAGAAAACTTAAAAAAAGTAAATTTTTTAGTATGTAGGAATGTGATAAAAGCTCCAGAGAAATACAAAGCAGGAAGGGGGGGATGAGGAGTGCTGAGTTGGATAGCCAGGGTAGACCTCACTTAGAAGGTGACATTTGAACAAAGCAGTGCAGCTCTCTGAGGGAAAAGACTATGCAGGGAGAATGGTCTTCAAAGGCCATTGGAGTATGGCCATATGGAAGTATGCCTGGAGTGCTTGAGGGGCTACGAGGAGGCCAGTTTGGATGGAAAAAGTGAAGAAGGGGGAGAACAGTAGAAAACGAGGACAGGAAGGTAATAGGGACCAGATGTAGGCCTTAAAGACCTTACATTTTACATAGAGTAGGGATCTATTGGAGAGTTGGATAAGAGGAGTTCTGAGATCTACTTTATGTTCTAAAAGATTGCTCTTCATTCTTGTATTGTGATGGACAGTGAGGAATGGGGGAGGATGGGAAGTAGTGTGGGCAATTAGGAGGCTATTGTAATAATCCACATGAGAGATAATGGTGTCCTGGACTGGAGTGGTACCAATGGAGTGGTACCAGAGTGAAAAGTAGTCAGATTTTGAATGTATTTTTAAGATGGAACAAATAAGTTTTCTTGACTGATTGGATGTGAGAGTGTAACAAAGGAAAGCAGTCAAGGGTGACTCCATGGTTTTTGGCCCGAGCAATTGGAAGGATGGAATTGCCATTAACTGAAGTGAGGAAGGCTGTTAGTGGAGTGGTAGTGGGTGGGAAAACTCTAGTTCAGTTTTGAACATTAAGTCTATTAGCTGGAAATTTTCAAACATACACAAAAGTAGAGAGATTAGTTCAGTGAACCCCATCACCACTTCGATAGCTACCATATTTATTCTTTTTTTTTTTTTTTGTGATACGCGGGCCTCTCACTGTTGTAGCCTCTCCGCGGCATGTGGGATCCTCCCGGACCGGGGCACGAGCCCGTGTCCCCTGCAACGGCAGGCGGACTCTCAACCACTGCGCCACCAGGGAAGCCCTATTCTTTTTTTACTTAAGTATTTTGGAACAAATCCTGGGCAACATATGTTATCCATGAGTACATCGGAATGTATCTCTGACAAATCAGAAATTTTGTTTTTGTTTTTCACAAAACCACAGTACTTCACTAAGACCTGTCTGATTAACACAAATATGTATACAGTATTGTGTTTTTAAATCTGGATTTTTTTTTCCTAGAAGGTAAACTAGGGGGAATTACCTTGTAAAGGAATTATTTGCTTTTTCCAAATAATTTGTTAAACACTAGCTTGAAATATTTTGCTTATCTGGTATGTAAACAATTTAATGTAGAGAAATTAAATTTACATCCAAACTTTTTAGGCTATTGCATCAAGCAATAATTAATTTTTTTTTTTTTTTTTTTTTGCGGTACGCGGCCTCTCACTGTTGTGGCCTCTCCTGTTGCGGAGCACAGGCTGCAGACACACAGGCTCAGTGGCCATGGCTCACGGGCCCAGCCGCTCCGCGGCATGTGGGATCTTCCCGGACCGGGGCACGAACCCGTGTCCCCTGCATTGGCAGGTGGACTCTCAGCCACTGCGCCACCAGGGAAGCCCTAAAACCTGTATTTTATTCAGATTTCCTTAATTCTTACCTAAGTTCCTTCTTCTGTTCCAAGATCTCATTACACATCATTTAGCTGTCCTTGGGCTCCTCTGGCTCTAACAGTTTCTTAGAAGTTTCTTGTTTTTGATGACCTTGACAATTTTTTTTAACATCTTTATTGGAGTATAATTGCTTTACAATGGTGTGTTAGTTTCTGCTGTATAACAAAGTGAATCAGCTATATGCATACATATATCCCCTCCCTCTTGCATCTCCCTCCCACCCTCCCTATCCCACCACTCTAGGTAGTCACAAAGCGCTGAGCTGATCTCCCTGTGCTATGCGGCTGCTTCCCACTAGCTATCTGTTTTACATTTGGTAGTGTATATATGTCCATGCCACTCTCTCACTTTGTCCCAGCTTACCCTTCCCCCTCCCCGTGTCCTCAAGTCCATTCTCTACGTCTGCGTCTTTATTCTTGTCCTGCCCCTAGGTTCATCAGAACCTTTTTTTTTTTTTTAGATTCCATATATATGTGTTAGCATACGGTATTTGTTTTTCTCTTTCTGACTTACTTCACTCTGTATGACAGACTCTAGGTCCATCCACCTCACTACAGATAACTCAATTTCGTTTCTTTTATGGCTGAGTAATATTCCATTGTATATATGTGCCACATCTTCTTTATACATTCATCTGTCGATGGACACTTAGGTTGCTTCCATGTCCTGGCTATTGTAAATAGTGCTGCAATGAACATTGTGACCTTGACAATTTTGAGAGGTACTGGTCAGGTATTTTGTAGGATGCTCCACTACTGGAATTTGCCTGGTGTTTCTCATGCCTAGACTGGAATTATGGGTTTGGGAGAGGAAGATCACAAAAGTAAAATGCCATTTTCATCATATATCAAGGGCATATACTATCTACATGACTTAGGACTTGGTGTTGACCTTGATCACCTGGCAGAAGTGATGTTTGTCAGATTTTTCTACTGTTACTACTTTTGCCCTACTCCACCTCCCTTTCCATACTGTACTCTTTGGAAAGAAGTCACTCTGCACAGCCCAAACTTGAGGAATGGGGGTTATACTCCCCCTCCTTTAGGGCTGAGTATCTACATAATTTGGGGGGAATTTTTCTGCAAAGGAGATTTGTTTTTTTATCACATTTGTGAATATATTCAACCATTTATTTATATCAGGGACTCATGGATATTTTATACTTTGGGTCATAAACCACTATTTATTTGATTTTATTGCTCAAATTGTTCGAGCTTTGGTCATTGGGAGTTCTTTCAGTTAGCTCCTGTGACATACACCCACCAATCTGTTTTTTGTTTGTTTTAGGAACACTTTCTTTCTGGCAGTACCAGATGCTTCGGGCTCATTTTGTATATTTCCTGTTCCGGTCTGAGAATCAGCCATTTCTCTAGGGAGCCCTGGTTCCTTGTAATGTAGTGGTATTAGAAACTAAGACCTGGATGCTACCTGTGCTCGTTGCTACTAGGGTGTTTGCTGTAGTATTTTAAAGCAAAAGCAACCCCCTAGCACCATGTTGTTTAATACCTTATAGTGTCTGTAAAG